TCACAGGAAGTCACATGTTTCTCATGTAACCAATGTTCTTTAGATGTGGAAAGCCCGGGAATTTTCTCCCTGATCTAGGTATTTGATTGGGACTAAAGTGTCAAGGTGTATTACCATTTTATGGCTTCTCCTCCCATCTTTGTTTGGTGTTCTGAAGAAGAAGAGCAGCCATAATCTCTCTTCTAGTTTTGTCTTTGTAGTGTAAGGATGTAGCCGATTTAGCTCTGTTGTTATTTTCATCCCAGTTACCCTTCCCATGCTAGAATTTAGTAAAAACTTTATATTTTAATCACACATGGACTCTCAGTCTGAATTATTTCAATATGAGTTTTTGTGCATCACAGCTCACTGTGAACTGAACTGTGATCCATAAAAGATTGTATTAAAATAAATGCTGTTAGTTGTTAAGGTACCACTGGACTCTTATTTTTCTACAAAATACTGACAGAAATTTGTTTTCTCCCCAAGGAACCCTGGGAAGTATAGTTCTGTGAGGCTCTCTAACAGAAAATCCTCAACTTTCCTGGATTCTCTTAGGGAAGTTATTACAATTAAGCTGGCATAAAATTGGTAAGAATCTATAATGTAGCTACACTCAGAAATTTTACACTTTGACTACTGTTCCCTTTGTGCATCTCTGAGTTGGCTGCGACCTTCAGAATGTTCTCTTCAGAACACAGTTGCTATCAAGGATGTTCCTTAGACTTGCTCTGTAATCAGATTTTCTACAACAGCTGAGAACAGCATTCATGACTTGACAATAACAATTTCTAAAAACATATATATGCACCAGGATGGCATTTGCACGGCAGATGACAGGGTGCTGCAATAAAGCTTACTACTTGGCAAAATACAGCTCAGGCTTGGAAGGAGACAGCAAAGGACTCAGAAAACATACACATGGAAGGGTTGCAATGAGGCGGATCAAAGGTACGAGCTGGAGCTTCGCCCCGCGCGCCCGGGGCTGGTGCGTGCCATTTGGCTGGGGGCGGCGGGAGGACTGAGGCTTGCTTCAGAGCAGCTCCGAGGCCCGCCTCAGCGCGGTGCCAGCCGGCAGCAGATGTGCCCGCCCGCCCTCCTTGGTACTGCGCGGCCGCCTGTCCTGGCCCGAGACTCCAAAGACAGTCGGCCATTCTCTAAAGCTGGCGGCGGACCAGGAGGGGCGGCGGCGGAGGAACAAGGCCCGAAGCCCGGGGGAGGAGGGCCCTGGCAGATTCCCTGCCCGCTGAAGCAGGCGGCGGCCTTTCCCCTCGGCAAAGGCCTCAGAAGAGCAGGGGGCTCTCCCCTTCCTGCAAGCGACTTCTCGCGTGGCACAAGCGGGCCCTCGTTTCTCTGTCGCCGCCCCAGAGGTCTGCCGGGCCTGCAGCCAGAGGGCTCTGCTCCGCTTCGCGCCTTCTTCCGGATGACAGTGAGGGCCTCAGCGCTTTAGGGGTGGAGAAGGTCAGAAGTCCTGTCACCTCGGCCGCCTTCTCGTGCGGGGGGTGGGGGGGGGGGGAGAGATGTAGCGAGCAGGAAATCAAATGGAAAACGCTTCCATTCCTGATCCCGTTTAAGGTTGCCAACTGACCGGAATATAACGCCTTGACTTGCTCCTGTGCCATTAACAGGAAGGCAATCAAAGGCACAGCTTCAGTGGCTGGTTTGAACCTCTCAATTGGATACTGTCTGATAAAATATTCTCAGGGGGTAGCTATTCCACAGCCTCTGTTGCTTAGCAGCCCACAGTCCGGCATCCTACCTATGTCCCCCAGTTTGTCTTTTAATTCTGTATCTTTCCTTGCCTTGAAAAACACCAGCAACATTAATGAAAACCCCTCAGACTTTATTCAGTAGGAAGATCAGGTTTTGCTTCCCCCCCCTAAAGCATTGTTTTAAAAATCCCACCAGTACTTCCAGATGTTGTACAGCTGTTTTACACACCTCAGACCCATTTCCAAAACAGGTCACTGCCAGGTTTCACAGAGGAAAATAACATGACAATGAATAACATGGGGTTTCTGGGGGCTTCCATGCCCAAGAAAACCACATTGCAGCAGAAACCAGCCCACCAGGAATCCACATCAGCAATAAAGCAGCAAACCAGAGGCACCAAGAAGGCTGTGTCCCTCCCTTCCCTGACAGAAGCACTGGGCTACCTGGGTCAGGAAGATAGATGGCAACCTCAGGCATGGGCCATGCAGAGTACAGGCAGGCCTCTGCTGGCTCCCTTTGACCCTGGGAAAAGAAGCTTACGGTGTGGCCAGTGGTCACCTCTAGCATCACTGACCAAGTCATACAGTTAAGCATCATTCCTTCACCACCAGCTCCTCATTTCTTCCTGCTTCCAGACTTCTGAATTAGCACTGCAAGATCTGATCCAACTCCTTATTATCCCAGGTGTAATCTATGAGCTGTATGTGTACTAGGGAGGGGTGTTACAAAATCCTTTTTCTGGGAATTAGCCCTGGACTCAGAACTTGCCCATTAGATGTAATTTGACTGGTCCTAATAAAAGGTAATACATGGATTGTGGTATTATACAAGATGCCATTCTCAAGCCTCATTTAATTGAACTCAACGGTCTGAATTGTTTTTGTCTGAAGTATTTGTTTTCTTAGAAATCTGTCATGTGAAAGGTTTGATGCTTGGGTTAAAGTACAGCTCAAGGCTGCCAGCAATGAGGAAAGACTGCGCTGTCCCCTCACCTCCAGGGGGGAGGGGGGTCATGTAAAGCCCCCCCCCCACCTAGGTATCCCAGTTTCTCCCATGCTCTCAGAGCTGGCTGGCCAGATTGCATGCCACAGTCACATAAATCACCCAGCCCAGTCCCTGGAGAGGCTCTGAGTGCTGTTTCTAATAACAGAAGGGTTTTGTTTATATGTGTTCAAGCTTCTAAAATGCCTGGCTGGAAATCATTTTGGACATTAGAGTGGAGCTGAATAAGAAAAAAACCCCAAAACTAAACTAAAATATCCAGGGATAGCAAGGCTTGGAGAAAAAATGGGAAAAATCAACAACCCCTCATTTCTCTTCTTTTTCCCCCGAGGACTCCGTCCCCATTTTTCCAAGGGTGAAAATAATGGAAATTTGGGAGATCTGGGAGGGGGGGGGGGAAACTCCCATTAAATATTTCCTGTTTTGACATGAGTGAAATGCTCTCTGAGGGAAGGTTTTTCTCAGTCAGAATTGGAAGTATGGAGATCTTTTTAACGTGAGAATCTACAGGAAAGTGCCATCAAGTTGCAGCTGACTTATGGCGATCCCTCATGGGGTTTTCAAGGCAAGAGACTTTCAGGGGTGGTTTGCCACTGCCTGCCTCTGTGTAATGATCCTGGTATTCCTTGGTGGTCACCCATCCAAATACTAACCAGGGCAAACCTTGCTTAGCAGCCAAGATCCGACAACGTCGGGTAGCCTGGACTATCCAGGTCAGAGGATCTACAGTATTAGTGAATGATAATTCTGCATATGGTCTATACTGCAGTATTTCATTTAATTGAAACTAATTTTGTCGCAGTAGGTCAGAGGATCTACAGTATTAGCAAACGATAATTCTGCATATGGTCTATACTACAGTATTTCCAAAGATATAGATATCATTTAATTGAAACTAATTTTGTCGCAGTGAATGTGCTGTTACGTATGATGATAACTCTCCATTGAAGAGTTCAATTATTTTGTTGTTATAATGGTTAACTATATATCAAATCTGCTACTAGACTTAGTGTGACTGTATGAGACTGTTTTATCCAAACAATATGCTCTCTCATTCACTACAAAATGTGTGTTTTCTACTTTTAGCTTTTATTTTGTCCTACCCTCCCAGATGGCAAAAACAAAGATATATGTGCTAAGTTAGCACATTATGAAACAACTAGTAGCTCTCTCTAGGAGTATATATGCAATTTTGCTTGTAGAAAACGAAGGCATTTATATTTTCATACTTGGGCATTTCATAAATATGCCAAATAGGACAGTTTTGTATTCTAACTAACTTATAAATAATGCATTTTATATTGTTAAATCAGTAAAACGAAAGTAGGATTGATAAAGAAGTTGCACGTATTTCAGTTTCCCCCAAATGTCTATTATTTTCGGGGAGGGAACCGGGAAAAATATTTTCCCCCCATGGCTTCAAAATTTCCAGAAATGTTACATCTCTGGTTCCTCATTAATATAGATGATTGCCCACTGTCCATCAAGCATTGATAAAATGAATGTATACATATATACACACACACAAATGGGATGAAGAGTTCCAATTTTTGTAGGTGCCTCTTACCCCAGTGCTTTCTGGCTTGGTTATAGACCAGCAATATCAGACACAATCTACCCATTTACCAAGGGCTCTAATAAATGCTGGGGTGGGGGGGAGGTACACCAGTGCAGCTGCCATGTAGCTCTGGTGGTGGGAAGCATTGCAGGTAGAGAGGTCTTTGGGGGCACACGTCCATGCTACCAATGCAGAACTGAAGCCCAGTGCCTACAGCATTATCCTGGAGTCTTGAAAAATGCCCCTTCTTTCTCTGCATCAGTATAATGTCCTCTAAATGATCATGCTGATTAAATATCAATGGGTTTGTGGATAGGAAGGTGGCTTCTTTCTAAGTTATAGTCCTGAAAAATGAGATTAGGTTGCTGAGGGCCTGCCCTGTGCTAGCCTCCCAACTCATTGTTGGCTCATGAGGAAAGCAACACAGGTCTGGAATAGAAATGCTGGTGCCTCCAGAGGTCCAGTGTCATGGAGTGCTTGCGAAAGGAACTGCAGCACCTTAAGAAACACAGCGACCCCGATGGCCATGCTGGGGTGCTGGGAGATGGACAACAGCCACATTCTGCATCTCTAATGCCATGCACAGCTTGCCAAGGTTCTCAGCTGGCAAGAAAAAGTTCTATGTCCAAGAAAAACAAAAAGTCGGCCTTGGAGAAGCAACCAGAACCTGAACATTTCATATAGCAACTGCCAAATGGATTACAGTAAGCCACAGCAATCTAGCTTGGACTTGAATTCTGCTAAGGTCTCAGGGCATAGCTTGGTGGATATCCTCGGAACGTAGCACTTTGTAGACCACCCAATAGAAGATGTTGAACACCAAGAATGTGAAAGGGAAGACAGCCCGGGAGATGGTGTCAATCCGCTTAGCCCTGTCCAAGTAACGCCTTCGGATCATCTCTCCATCTTTCAGGAGTGAGGTTGGAGGTGGTGGGCTGTAGATCTTGGGGCTCTCCATGGTTCCTCCGTCCTTCATGTGCAAGCAGTGGCCCAGGCCATAGCCCCGGAAGTAGAATCGGCTTTCGCGAACTATCTCCTCTTCCTAAAGGAATGGAAGGAAGGAATCAGTAAGCATTGCACAGGTGTGGCATCTGGTCAGGCTGCCATTTAGGTGTTCTCCTGCTGGCTTTTGTCCAGTATATAAGTGCAGTATGGCTTGGCCAGCTGTACTGGACACATCATTCGTCCTAGAAACTTTTTGCCTGTAGTGCAAAGTTCATGCTCTGATCGTGAGTGCTATGTTTGTTTTTGCATTTGTTGGGGAACGTGGGGCTGCTCTGGAGACACTAGCCGCTGCCACCACAACAACACAAAGGTGGTAGTGTGGGAAGGCAAGAGGGGGAAGAAACCTGTGGCTTGAGGGGTATACTTTTTTTGGTTGACTTCAAGTGGCCAAAGGATATCCATTCCTTTTAGATGGCCACTCCAGCATGGAGGTCACTGGGGCGGGGGAAGAGTTTGCTTTTAATGGTTATATCTAGTCAGGGGTTGTTTCGTAGAAAAAGAGCTAGGGGAACTCATTAGCATAACTCATTAGCATATGCCACACCCCCTGACATCACCGGAAGTGTGTCATAAGGTCACACACCCCGCCCCCAACGGTCCCGGCCGGCGGGAGTGCAAGGAAGCCCCGCGAAGGCCCTCCCTGGCCCCAGGCAGGCAGGGGTGGGGAGAGGCAGGGAGGAAGCAACTTACCCTCCCTCTTCTGCCTCCTCCTGGCTGAATGAGGGCTGGAAGCGGGGTGGCTGGAAGCAGGGGGCGGGGCTTCGTCATGTGCCCTGCCCCCCCGTACCTCACCCGGGGGAACTGCGATCCCCCGCGATTCCCCCCGAAATGATATCTATATCTAGTCAAAGCTAATGCAGGTCGCCATCAGGGGACAGAGCACGGATTAGAAATCACAAGCACTGGTTGCTTTCCTATCGTCCCCAGTGAAGCACCCTGTGATACTCAAATGCTTGCATACACCTTCATCAAACTCTGCCTGACCAATTAAAATGGGCTGCTTATTTCTGCAACTTAGTCCTAAGTCACTCCATTCTAGTTTTCTCTTTTTCCATCTGTCCTCAGTTGACTGTTAAGGGCAGTTTGATTCAGCCCAGCTCCCACCCCCATCTGTGCATTTATGGGCTTGCAGGCAAAAGGGAGAGGTGAGGGGAGGGTGAGGTTTGGGGTAGGGCAGGGGCAGATTAAGACCCGGGGGGGGGGGGGAGCTGATGCAGGGGAGGGGGTGGGTTTGGTTTTTACCCTGGAGTCGGTGCTGCCGAATAGAGAGAGGGTCTCGGACGTGGACTCGCTGCTGGGCAGGGCATCCAGTTCCTGCAGGGACTCCAGGCTGGGCGTCTGGCTGGTCAGACCCTTTTAAGTCCAGCAGTGAGTGCAAACAGAAACAGGACAGTGGGTGACTGAGGGCTCTGCTTGCACAGATGCGTTCACATACGCATACAACATCGCTTGCCGAGAGGCCTGTGCAACTTCTGACCAGCCAGAGGATTAACAGCTCCTCTGTTTTTTTGCAGTCCCAAGCGGGGAGCAAAACTGCAGAGCTTGGGATGCTCCTGGTGGGCTGTGGCCAATGGGTGCCATTTGGCTGGGAAGCTCAGAAGTTGTGCTGACATGCTGAGTGACTTCCCACTCAATGCTTCTGCAGAAACATTTGAGGTGATGATGCCCTGTGAGTGGTGTTAAGATGATAATGAGAGCCAATGTGGTGTAGTGGTTAGAGTGTCAGACCAGAATCTGGACAGACCCAGGTTCGAATCTCCACTCAGCCATGGATGCTCGCTGGGTGATCTTGGGTCAGTCACTCTTGCTCAGCCTAACCTACTTCACAGGGCTGGTGGAAAATAAAAATGGAGGAGGGGAGAACAGTGGGGTATAAACATATAAATAAATAGATGTTTATACCGAATGCTTGTGTCTGTGAATCCGCTCCAACAGAGTAGGGGGATTTACAGATCGGGGTTAATGACAAGGCTGAAAGTATTCTGGGATCCTGCAGTCAAGCCAGGCGGGCTGGGATTGTTTGTGGGCTGGACATGGTGTCTAGCATCCGGAAAGGCTCTGGCGGTGGTAGCTGTTAAGGAAGCCGAAATCACAGAAGTATCTGGGCAACACGGGATGAAATCTCCTGTGCCAAGGAGGAGAGAGCTCAGCACTGTCCCCTGTGCCCTGCAAAACTCCTTGCCCCTGCCTGTCAACTGTATGCAAAGTAAGCACACACAAATCTGCTAAATCAGCTTAATTTCTGCAGGTTGCTGAACCCTGCCTTTCTCGGCACAGAATTTAATTTGTTTGGAATTTCGGACAATGCAGAACCCGCATGGTGGTTCTAGGAGGAGATCGCCAGGTGCAAGGAGGAGGAGGGAACAGCAGTGAGTGGGGAAAAGGGGCTGAGATGGGGAGAAGGAAGGAAGCAGCACAGTCTCCCTGACCCACTGCTGGGACGTGGCCATTGCTTACTCTCTGGAGATCAAGCCTGCCTGAATGGAAGCCAAAGTGTGTCCAGTGTCCATTCCCCTGATCCTAGGTATGTGGGGTATGAGAAAGTGAGAAAAAGGCATTCTGCACATGCTCAGAGAGGCTTCACACATACCTAGGCTGCTTCTGGCCCAGGTTATTTCTCTGACCACTCCTGGGGAAGCAGCTCACCCTAACCCGCACCCGCTGCCCTGTTTTGCAGGAGAAGCCAACTATTGGCTTACTGGATCAGATGACGGGGTGGGGGCCAGGCACTGCACGGCATTTGAGGTCCTGTGTTACAGAGCCCCGGGCTTCTCCGTCATGGGTCTCTGTAGAAGGAAGCTGCCTGGCCTATGAGGCACTCTGCAGCTGAGGGGCTTGTGGTGGCTTGTTCTTCTTTCACCAGCTGGCCAGTCCACATCCAGGCTGACTTGCCCTCTTTCAGGTGAGCCTCCTTTGCTCTGTGGATGTCAAGCTGGTGGCTCTGGAGGCCCTTTTGCTTGGGACTGTGAGCAAGATGCTGCTTTCTTTCCTTTTGATGTCTTGGGATTTACACTGGCAGTCTTGTTCACTAGAGGGCAGCCCAGCCGTCCTGATGAACCACTGGAGGGGGAAGAGCGGCCAAATGGGAATGGACACATGGGCCAGAGGGTGGCCTTTCCTAGACTGCCTTGCCAGTTGCCAGCCACCTCCTTCCACCTGCCCCTTTCTACCCAGATGATTGTGAAGGTGCCCCCCCCCCGATTCTGTGAATGGCACTGCTGGAGTTGAATTTTGGCCATCCCCTACCGGCAATGGATTTGACACAGACTAGGACAGGCCAAGAGGGCCCTCCTTTTCTTCTGTCAGGTTACCTGCCTTAGTCGTGTTCACCATGTGCAAGGTCACGTTCACCATGTGCGAGGTCAGGCATTTGGGCTCTCTCTCTCCAGTGGTTATTCTCAGATTACAGTTTCTAACTAGCAACCCCCTTCCAGTCTAGGACCTTCAGCCAGGGCTGAATTAACAGACGCTGAGATCCTAAGCTATGTCGGGTTTAAAAGGCCAAAAGTGGTAAAATAGTGGGTTTTTTTAAATTTAAGGGGCCCTTCATAACCAGAGGCCCTAAGGTGTCGTTTATTTGGGCTCTGCATAAATCCAGTGTGCTTTCAGTTGACTAGAGGCAGATCCAGTGAGTGCCACCCTCTTCAGATCACCCTAGGCCAGACAGAGCAGCCCATCTAGATTTGAGAGCACTGGAGCATCTCCCCTGCTTTGCGGGAGAAGCCGAGGAACCCTGTTTACGCCTACTGTTAGAAAGTCTTGTTTGGATTTTCTTGTCTACACTGAAAACCAGTTTGCATGACAGAGATGCCGGGGAAGTGAGAGCCCTTATGAAAACAAAATACCAGTGGTCACGATGGAAGGCATTTGAAATGGATGGAGGAAACTCGAGTAAAAATAGCTCTTTGCCATTTCCATGGAAGGTTGACTTTTTTGCAGGGGGTGGGTGCAGCAGGCCTGTGCCTGGGAAATCTGGTGAGCAAAGTGCCGATCCAGGAGGCGCAACCAGTGGCAACCCGCTTACATTAGAAGGATGCTAACTGGCCCTGCCTCTCTGTATGTTGGAGGGGGCTCAGTCATTGCACCAGGGAAATGGCAGCCACTGCAACCCTTGCCTCTCCCAATGGTCATTCTGTCTGATGGAGATGACTGCTGGGGCAATGGCCAACTTGTCAGTCCCATCCCACAAGAAGCCAGCCCAGAGGAAGAAGGGGTCTTGATCCCACAGCCCCAGTCCCACTCACCATTCGCTGCCGCCGCTGCCTTCGGCGCAGGCGCATGAACTCTTTGTGCTGGCGTGAGACAAAGTTGACTGCTGCGTACTCCAGCAAGGCCGCAAAGACAAAGAGCAGGCAGACAGCCATCCAGATGTCAATCGCTTTGACGTAGGAGACCTGCAAGAGAGAAGCCGTGCACAGATGTCAGCAAGTGGGAGCCACAGAGGGCTGCAGCAACAGGTACCCTCCTGTGCCCTCCTCCACTCCCTGCACCCAGGCCACAACCTCTTCATGAAGCACTTTGTTTTTATCTGTGTTATTTAAGGTTTTATTGCTTTTACTATGTTTTATGTGGGCTCCGCCCCTTGTAAGCCGCCCTGAGCCCGCTTGCGGGGAGGGCGGGGTAAAAATGTCAAAAATATAAATAAATAAATAAATAAAATTGCACTTCACAGCAGCTACCGGCAACCAACCTGTTTTCCCTCACTGTGGATTCCTATCAGCCAACCCTAAGGTTTCTAGCACTCTCTCACCTTGGATGGGGGAGAACCAGCAAATCCCCCTTGGCAACATTGCTTGAGATGACGTACCCGGCTGTTTGTGCTGGCCTTGTGGGGAGACAGATGGTGGCGATGCATTTCCTGGTACCTATGATGCATAGCTGCTCAGCTAAACGCACAAGAGGAGCTTTGGCTCTTGCCTACCTCTCCGTGCCACAGAAAGAAGGCAGGACAATGCTGGAAGCAATTTGAAGGTGAAACAGGCCGGTGTAACTGGGGGGCATTGGGAGTAGGACGGAGCTGTGCTCCTGTCAGCGGAATGGCCACAGGACTGCCTACGAAAGGGGCCTCGGCCAAGACTGTTGGCACATGCCCCTTCTCCTGGCTGCCTCCTGATCTGCATTCTTGGAACTGGGCGAGGAAGCTCAGATTTGGGAAGAGGAGGCAGGCAGCCTCAGGGGAAGGGGCCATCAGAACATGACTATTGCCACCCCCTTCCTGCGGCCATTGGTTTCTGCTCAGCAAAGCCATCTGCAAAATGTGCTATCCCAGAAGCAGCAGCATTTTTCTTGGGAAACTATAAATACCCGTCTATGCAGATGGGCCACAGATGTCAGCAAGATGGAGCTTGGCAGACAAGGGGGATCCTCCCTGGCAGGGTGAAGACGAAATATTGAGCTTCTGCTTGGCCTGAGGCTGATGCTGGCTCTCTTGCATTGTCCAAAGTGAGCTCCACGAGGGTAACAAATACCTAAACCCTCTCTGTTTACATTCTGAGAACCTGATCTAGAGTAAATTAGTATTCAGTTGCCTTCTCATCCTCTTGCTTACTTGAGGTGACTGTTGCAGGTTTAACTTACTGTGATTCCCTCCCCCCCAAAAAATTTTTTAAAGTATAACAGGATTTTATTTTTTACCATCAAGTCACAGCTGACTTACGGCAACCCCGTAGGGTTTTCAAGGCAAGAGACATTCAGAGGTTGGTTTGCTATTGCCTGCCTCTGCACTGCAACCCTGGTATTCCTTGGTGGATCTCCCACCCAAATACTGACAAGGGCCAACCCCGTTTGGCTTCTGAGATCTGACAAAGATAACACACACACTAAATGTGAAGTTTTGCAAATATAATGTGCATATCTTATAGAAAAGGCCAGGAAGTTAGTGAATGCTGGCATTTTCTGGTCATTGTAAAGTTTTTAGGAGACCAGTGGAGAATCTCCGAAAACACAGTCATTTCCCAGTACGTCTCAAGAAACACCAAGTGTCTCTGGCTAAGTGTGTCTGGCTAATAATCAAATTTCATTTCCATCATTATTGCTAAATGGCATCATTAGACAAGGGATACTGATAGCAGTCCAAAGTAAGCCTTGCAGCATGCCAATTTACCACTAAATCCTGAGAATTTCCACTTCTGGTGAGCCCATGTGATTCTCCCTCCCCACACCAAGACAATATTTTTTGGGGTGGGCTTTTTTGTGTGTGTGCATGTGCTTGCATGCCTGGAAGTCATGACAACTTCTGGCGACTCCTAGTGGGGTTTGGACATTTCAGAGAGGTGGCTTGATCGCCTGCCTCTGCGTCCTGAGCCCTGGTGTTCCTTGGAGGTCTCCCTTCCAATTACTTGCCAGGGTCGGCCCTGCTTAGCTTCCAAGATCTGACGAGATCGGGCTTGTCTGGGCTATCCAGGTGAGGGCAACAAGACAATATTATGTCATCGTATGAATTAAAGACTCATACACTGTTCCCTTCACTCTTTTGCTCATGAATGACCATGTACAGAAGTATTTTATCTTATCCTGCACGTCATTTCTTGACACTGTCTCAAGAGGAGGAACAGCTGATGGACAGAGATGGCACACAACAGCACGGAGGAACCACGGGATATGCGAAGACCTGCACTAGTGCGGAGTGCCCTACCACTCTTCTTCTGACCCAAACTATGGGGGGGGGGCATGAGAAGCCAGTTACTTATGTGCAAGAGGTAGCAACGAGAATCATATGCGCTCCTACTGCTTGCTGGGGTTCTTTGCATAAATGTTTCCCCATTTTCCTGGTCCTCTGGCACTGACCTTTGGCAGAGAAGCCCGAGAACCGGCGCTCTGGGTGGTCATTGTTAGCACTGTGGTAATGCCGAGCCCCACGCGGGCTGGCGCAGCATCCATGTTAATCCAAAAAGAGACCCAGGAGAGAATGACAATCAGCAGGCTGGGAATGTACATCTGGATCAGATAGTAGCCCATCTGTCTTTCCAGATGGAACTTCACCTCAATGCAGGTGAACTTCCCTAGAAGGAAAAAAATGAGAGCAAATTCAGCAGCAGAGCAGATGTTCTGGAAATTGGTGCAGGGGCTCATGCTGGTCACAATCACAACGCTTCACTCCTTGCTTCTGGAAGTATTCGGATCCTCCACAGAGACCATAAGCAGGGAACCAGGCACAGTTTTAAAAAATCCAGCAGGCCGATCACCCAGCCTCTTGCCACATGCTCCAGGTCATGCAGGTAGATGTGTGGGAGGCAGGGCGGTGAAGGGGCCACAACCCACTGATGGAGGTTTGTTACCTGTGTTGTAAGATTTCGTGCAATAGCCCAGATCTTTCTCATCCCGTAGAATAAACTGAGGGAGTGTCAAGCCCTCAGCCACCTGGACAGCTTCCTGCTCCTTCACCCACTCAAATATCAAGTCGTTCATGGTGTAGCCAACTGCAAGGAGAAAGAGAACGGGAACTTCAGAATGGACTTTCCCAGTGATCCTTGCAGAGGCCACCTGCTGCCTTCTCATCCCTTCCATTCCCTGAACTAAACCACCACCTGTAGTTCACTTCCCTCTTTGCTGAACCACAGCCACCTTCCCCCTTGTTCTGCCTCTCAACATCTTTATCTTTGTGCTGCCCCCCTGCCCTCCCCGCTCCTCTCTTTCCACCACTCCAGAATTTGCTTTCCAAAAAAGAACCATGGTAGCATCTTGATCTACCCAACCCCCCTCCACCGAGCCTCTTCCTCTCCCGCTCCTGAATAACCATCCTTGATGTCCTTCCACTGCCATCTTTTGCCCTACAGTCATTCCCTGTCATTGCTGACAATCTCATTGGCTTCACCATTTTTTGCCTGTCAAATGTTTGTTGTCACACCCTCAAATAGGGACCACACATCTTCTGCAGAGTACCTGGAACTCTATAGATATGATTAACAGTAGAACTCACAGCTTTCCAGTTGCATGGTGCACGTCTGGATGTCCATAGGGAAATTCTTGAGATCCATGGGACAAGAGAGGATCAGTGTCAACCTGGAGGGGGGAATAAAGGAGAGGGGGAGGGCCGTGAGTGTTCCATATGAATGCCTGCTTTGCTTTCAAGCAGCTGTGCTAGCGAGGGGCACAAAGAGAAGGCAGCTTCCAAGCATAAGGCAGAAGGGAGATTTTGCTGGTCCCACCTGATGCTGTACAGCACATTCCCATTCTTGAAAATGCGCAGAAGTTTGTTGTCTGTAGTGACCTCATGGAAGTTGGCTCCCTTCTCATTGGCAAAGAACAAATCTGGCTTCCAGATGGAGTCAAGCATGGAAGGGTCAAGGTCCAGTGAATCATCAGGGTACTCCCGGTAACTCAGGCGTGGGTCATTCCACTGCTGCCGTAGGAAGACGTTGACACGGTAGTCCTAGGAGCCCAGAGTCATGGTCATATAAATACTTAGGGGCAACACTGCACCACACACACACACAAATAACTAGCCATGTGGCTTCTGTAGCTGGCCCAGAGTGAGTTGCACATCTGTTCCATGAGAGAAATAGGAATTCAAGGAACTGGGGAGAATTCTGGCCAGTACATTGGGCCTTAATCTGACAGCTCAACTGGTAGGGATGAGTATTTCCTTGACCTGGACTTGGCAGGGAAAGCCCAGCTTCCTAGAAGTCATGGAAATGTAAGGTTGTAGGCAACTGACAAGTGGTTTAGCAGAGCTTTAGGGGCAGTAAGAATTCACAGGTCAGAAGCAAGGATTCCCTTCTGAGAACAAGCTCACCATCAGTTCAGCCTCCCATAGTTGTAGGTTTTTAAAACCATCTCTTAATAATAGCTTGATAAGGGCACACATTCTTGGCTAACTATCTTATAACTTCAAACGCTATACAAGGTTATCTATACTTGAATATCATATATATATATTAGTTCATTCTGCTATTTTTATTATAATAAAGTATATTTAAAAATAGCTTACAGGTTTCTCATATGCCCTCAACCTCATTTTTGAACGATATCTGCATGTTGTTCAGGTGTACCTCTTGCCATGAATTAATTGATCTGATATAGGAAAGCTAACTAAATGCCTGGGGCTTCTTAAGTGCCTGTGTATATCTGAATCAGGCCTGACCAGAGTCATCTAGAACACAGGCCCAAAGGCTGTCGCCCCACCTTCTGGCACCTTCTTCAAACAAGACGTCCTCCTCTTAGTAGCTCCCTTGCCTGTCACACCACCACGCCGCTTTGCTCCCCATTAGAGATGTGCTCCAGTGGACAGCTGCTATCAGAACTGGATTTGAATCTGAGAAATCCATTCACATTGCCTTGCCCAGACTGCCCCTCTGGAGCTCTGTGGGGAGGGGACAGAAGACACTGTAGTGTTAAGGAGGAGAGAGGAAGCGAGAGACACCTTACCATAGTGGTTTCTGTGACCGAACCAAAACTGTTGATGAAGATGTTGCATGTCACGTTGACAGGCGGGCCTGCAAGCCAGTGAAAATGCATATGTGAATGGATATATGACACTGCGTGAACAGGATGGGGGGAGGGAGATCCTTCCGGGGCTTGGGCACCACTCTGCTTCCCTTCTAGCTATTTTGCGCCCCCCCCTCCCGGGAAGAGCTTGTACGGTGCTGGTGGCTAGTTGGAGAAGGGGGTACTGAGTCATGAGCACCCCTGGTGGGTTTTGGAACTTCCATACAAGAAGTCAAGCAAGAATCTGCATTCTGGCAATCTGGATCAGGTAGCCATGCAGGAAGAATTTACCTTTGAAATTTGGTCTGATGCGAGCATCATACCCTGATGTTCGGCCCATAAGTTTGTCCAGGAAATCAGAGGGAGACATCGGCTGGGGGATGCTCCGTGGGGCAGACTTGATGTCTCCTTTTCCTGATCCCAGTCTGAGGAGTGAAAAGAGACATCGATTGGTAGACACCCCCTCCTTCCTCTGAACACGCATCCACTGACGTGTCACTGCCAGGTTGGGGGGGGCCTGACCTTTCACAGGACTTTAAAATGACCCCCACATGAAGTGGTATCCCTTGAACAGGCAAGCAAGATACTTAGCAGTGGCCAGTGTTCCCTCTAGGCTGTGCACATTAGCAGTCGCTCACTCATTAACACAGGAAGCCCCGCTCAGCAGCAGTCTGGAGCCATGCAGGGTCTTGCACTCCCCATTGCCCATTTTAAGATTGCATATTCTGCTCAGAATGTGAACTGCTCCACTCAATAGGGAAAAGAAATTAGAGGGAACATTGCTTAGCACCTCATTTAAACTGGTTTGCATTGCCTGTATATGCAGTGTGAGTTTGCGGAGATCCTTGGCCAGGTAGGCACTGCATTGTCATGCTAAGCTGAAGCAAGATGCCAGTTTATTTATTTATTTATTTATTATCAAATGTATACCCCGCCCTCCCCGCAAAGCAGGCTCAGGACAGCTTCCAACATGACATATAAACAGCTTAAAAACAGAATTATTAAAAACACCACAAATCAACAAGCATAAAGTGCTGGCGGCAATTAAAGTCACTTAAATGACACGTTTTCAATGGATTTCCATTTCCCAATGTTCTAAGGTGTTTTTCTGCTCGTAGTTTCCTTAAGGCAACAACTCGATGGTAGCTCATGGGCCAGGTGCTGCAACAGTCGGGCGATCTAATGGTGGTCCAACAGTGGTGGCCCTTAATTGAATGCCTGGTGGAAGAGCTCTGTCTTACAGGCCCTGTGGAACTGTGAAAGGTCCCGCAGGGCCCTGGTCTCCTCCGGGAGCTCATTCCACCAGGTAGGGGCCGCCACCGAAAAGGCCCCGGCCCTAGTGGCCGCTAGCCTGGCCTCCCTCGGGCCCGGGAGGGTCAACCGATTTTGAGACCCAGACCATAGTGCTCTCGGGTATATACGGGGAAAGGCGGTCCCGTAGGTATGTCGGACCCCGGCCGGGATGTTGCATGGGTATGTTTTGTGTATGCAACTGGCACCATTCAGTTGGAGTGGGGAACAGTACCTCACAATCATGATTCCCAAGTGAAGAATCCCCCCCCCCGCACAGAGCTCAAATGCCTTAAACATAGGTCATCCCTAGCAGTTGCGATCCCTCCTCAAAGGAAGGGGGTTACACCATGGACCAGCCTTCTTATTCCCACTGCCAAACTGAACCTGCTTTGTAAAACCACCACCTCCCCATCTGCAGCAAAGAGCAAATCATCCGGCTTTCCCACTGCTCTGTGACTGTGACCTGGATAGCCCAGGCTAGCCTGATCCCGTCAGATCTTGGAAGCTAAGCAGGGTCAGCCTTGGCTAGTATTTGGAAGAGCAACCTCCAAGGGATACCATGGCTGCAGCGCAGAGGCAGGCAATGGCAAACCACCTCTGAAACATCTCTTGCCTTAAAAACAAGTCTAGCTTGCCACCTAGTGGTGCATAACTCTAAAAGAGCTAGAACTTCTGGCTGCCAGGCAATCTTAGGGTCTCCTGGCTATTCTACACACAATGCCATATGATGGTGATGATGATGATAACAACACCAACAACAACTGCTCTGTGGCAACTCCAGGCAGCATATGATCTTGTGCGTAGTCAGAATGGATTGCAGGGCAGCCAGAAGCTTCCTAATGGATATTTCTGGTTCAGGGGACTGCATCTTCCAGGGCTGGGAGTTCCTGGGGTGGATTAAGAGAAGACAGCTGCCCTTGGGGAACAGGCTGGGGCCTCCCTGGAGCACTGAGTCAGGGGACGGCCGAAAGGGTTGCTGGGCTTCAGGACACATGGACTGCGAAAGGTACCCAGGTTTGGTTTTTAAAACTCCTCTGCTAGTCTGGGGCTTGTTTTTGTTTTTGTCTTCCAGGGCCTGTTCTTACAGTTCAGAGCTCGCAGCTTGGAGGGCCCCAGGCACAAGAGATGCTTCCTGGCAGCTCTGCTTGGAATGAGGGCTGTCAACTTGTTCAGCCAGGGGGCTTCAAGCAAGCAACCAATCAATAGACCGATTAAAGAAATCAGCACTACACAATGCGGCTCCCCTGCGCCCCCCCCCCAGCTGCCTGCCTTCTTCCTGCTCCTCCAGCCCGGGCCTTTGGAAAGCTGCCGTCCCAGGAGCAGCCCTTTACATACCTCAAGGGCATCAGCTCTTGCTACAGAACATCCAGACTCCAGGAGGAGACTTTCTCCCCTCTGCCCCATCCTCTTCCTCCAGCTAGAGAGCACTGCGGGAGTCTCTCTGCAGTCTTGATTTTTTAAAATCTGTTTGTGCTGAGTCTTGTTTCGAGGTCCCACACGTGGCCTGCATGGAAAAGACACTTTCTGAGAAGCATTTAAAAGGGCCAAAGAGATGCCCTCCTTTTTCCTGCTCATCAGATGGAGATTTTTTTTCCCCCAGCTGCACTCGGCCAGCAGCTACAGCTGTTTCAATATCCTGCCATCCCATTCCGCAGGTCTGCTAGCTCTGAGGAGCTGAGCCTGTCTCCCCCCCCAAGCTAACCTGCCTCCCCATCTTTTGTAAAGCAACCCCTATGTGGGAGGTGGACTGCTCCATCTCCAGAGCAACAAAAGGATGGTTCCTCTGCTGCAGATCTCCCAAGGCTCTTGTCAATTCAAATAAAACAAGTTTTGCATGAGCTGCACAAAGCCAAACTCTGTTGCCGAGAACTTCACTCCAGCTTAGGGTTGCCAGCTTGTTGGGAAATACCTGGAGATTTTGGGGGGTGGAGCGTGAGGAGGGGGGGGGGCATCAATGGGGTATAATGCCACAGAGTTCAGCTTCCAAAGATCCAGAGGAGTTAGCCATGTTAGTCTGATGTTACAAAATAATAAAAGGCCCAGTAGCACCCAGGGGTTGTTTCATAGAAAAAGAGCTAGGGGAACTCATTAGCACAACTCATTAGCATATGCCAGGGAGGAAGCAACTTACCCTCCCTCTTCTCCTGCCTCCTCCTGGCTGAATGAGGGCCGGAAGCTTCGTCATGTGCCCCGCCCCTGTACCTCACCCGGGGGAACTGCGATCCCCCGCGATCCCCCCCCGAAATGACCTCTGGTAGCACCTCTAAGACTAGCAAACTTTATTGCAGCATAAGCTTTCAAGAAACACAGCTCTCTTCATCGGATGCATGATGAAAAGAACTGTTTCTTGAATGCTCATGCTACAATAATGTTTGTTAGTCTTAAAGATGCTACTGGGCTTTTTGCTATTTTGGAGCTTCCAAAGAGCCCACTTTCTCCAGGTGAACTGACCTCAGTCACCTGGAGATCAGTTGTAATCCCAGGAGATCTCCAGCCACCACCTGGAGGTTGGCAACGCTATATCCAGCCCCTGCTTCAGCTAAGGGGCATAAAGTAAAATGTTGCAATCCTAAGAGTCCAAATAGTCTTTGCAGACAGAGCAAAGCACACTGTGAGGCCACAGCCCTTCTGAAAGTTCAGCAAGAGAAACTTTGAGAGGTCAGCTGCACTAAAATTCATATCACTATTTAAAAGGCTCCTGCAGTGATGGGGGCGGGCAAGGGCAGGGAGGAGGGAACTGGGATGTCCCCTGGACTTTGTGTTCTGGAGCAAAGGCAGTGACTGCAGAGCTGGTTTAACTTACAGGTCTTTCTTCAGCCTGGGAGTAACTGTGTGTAAACTGTCTACATGTGTTTGCTTCAAAGGTATTGGTATAGAGAGGCAGGTTCTAAACACTGTAAATAAGGAAGCATGCAAGAAAGAAAGCATCTAAAATGGTTGCCCTGTGACATTTATTATTTCTCCCCCAAAGCAGACTCCTCATTCCCACAACAGCCCTGTGAAGTGGGCTCAGCTGAGAGCGTGTGACTGGCCCGAGGTCACCCCGGGAACTTCCATGGCAGCAGAGTGGGGATTTGAGCCTGGGTTTCCCAGACCCTAGTCCGACACTCTAACCACTGCGTGGCACATGGCTTCTTGGATGACACCAAAACTGGCAACGCAGACAAATATTCAAGTCCAAGGGGCACACAAAGGCCCCTACAAAAAGTTGATGGCCCTGAGTCACGCTGAAAGACCTTTGCAGGCCAGCCTGGACCTTTTGAGTGTGGCCCAATCGATAGCAGCCCCGATGAGCATGCCTTGTCGTGCGCTTGCTTCCTGCTACCTGAACAGCTTCAGACAGAGTCTGACACAATTCTGAGTCCCATGGGGCTGCAAGCAGCGAGGCAGCCTCCTCAAAAGTCAGGCTGACAAAAGAGCGACTAGCAGCAAATCCCAGCTCCCAAGAGCTCAGCCCCGGAGAGAAGAGAGGATGCCAGGCTCTCCCCCTCCAAGAAGAGACGCCAAGACGAGGCTCTGCTGATGCTCACGCATGCAGCAACACCGCTTCTGCAACTAGGAGTTCACCCAATTGCTGCTCTGAACAGGAGGGACTGTGAGAGCCAGGCACGCTATGGGGAGGGCAGGAATGTGTAACCAGGACAATCGGTTGGGGCATGTCTGCGCAATCGGGCTCACAGCACGGTTTGCTGAGGCTCCCCAATGGGAAGGAATTTTATTTTTGGTCCCTCTTTTGTGGGTCTCTCTCCCCACCTCTGAGATGGGAACAAATGCAGATTTTTTTAGTTTATACTGGGATAGAGAGCACACACTCAGAATTTTGTTTGCACCTGTGTGCGTGCACATGTATTTCAAGGGATGTGGATCTGGGCAATGGATTGTGGAGACCTGACTCCCTTTGACTACCTGGTGCTGGTTCCTCAGAAGAGCAGCTAAATGCTTCCAGGTTCCTCAGAAGAGGGCAAAATGCTTCCAGGCCTACAGGCCAACTGAACAGCACACTGGAGTGACGGTAGCAGGGAGTGGAATAGTTGGAGTAATCTACTAGAGGGGAATGCTGAAAACTACTGAAAGGGCTGCGTGGAGGGGATTCTTTTGCTTGCTGTACCTCCCTGAGGACTGCTCGTATGCACAGGCAAGAATTCTCCCCTCCCTTCCAGAAGCCCACAAGGCAATCCTGAACGTGCTGTT